GCGTGACACAATTGCGTTTCAGAAATCAGAAACTGATAGGCTTCCAACTGGTATTTCCATCTTGTTGGTTTTCCTGGGCAGGGTCAGCACTAACGCAAGAGGCCTTCCAGCTGTCGCCAGACATGCCGGTGATGCACCCGGCTCACCTGGCGTGGAACTGCATCGGCAACGACGAGGGGCAGGAGCTGCTGTTCAGTTGCGTCCTCGCTGGCATCCGTGCCATCGACGAGTGCGACTACATCCTCTGCAACTCCTTCCGCGGCGCGGAGGCGGCGACGTTCGCGCGGTTCCCCAAGATCATCCCCGTCGGCCCGCTCCTCACCGGCGAGCGCCCAGGCAAGCCCGTCGGCCACTTCTGGCTCCCCGAGGACGGCGCGTGCATGTCGTGGCTGGACGCGCAGCCGGTGCGGTCCGTCGTGTACGTCGCCTTTGGCAGCTTCACCGTGTTCGACCGGCGCCAGTTCCAGGAGCTCGCACTGGGTCTCGAGCTCACCGGCCGGCCTTTCCTGTGGGTGGTGCGCCCAGACATCGTCCATGGCGACGTGCACGAATACCCCGACGGCTTCCTGGACCGCGTCGTCGCGTCCGGCATTAACGGCGGTGGCCGTGGCAAGCTCGTGGCGTGGGCACCGCAGCAGCGGGTGCTGGCGCACCCGGCGGTGGCGTGCTTCGTGTCGCACTGCGGGTGGAACTCGACCATGGAGGGCGTCCGGAACGGCGTGCCGTTCGTGGCGTGGCCGTACTTCGCCGACCAGTTCGTCAACCGGGCGTACATCTGCGACATCTGGCGGATCGGGCTCCCAGCCGTCGCTGACGAGAAGTAGGGCATGGTCACGAAGGAGCACATCGCCGGCAGAGTGGTGGAGGTGATGGGAGACGCCGGCATGAGGAAGAGGATCGAGGTGATGATGGCGGTGGCACACGAGAGCATTCAGGAGGATGGTTGCTCCCATGGCAACTTCGACATATTCGTGGAGTCGATCACGTCATGAGTAGTGATGCATATATATACCTCGATGTTGAACAGAAATACTCCTAAGAAATAAGAATTTGCGATGATGAATCATCGTCATTGCTATTGAGAGAGGGATACAAGACAACAAGAGTCAGGACTCAGGCAAGAGGGGACGTTGGATAAGAAGCAAACAGGAGGCTCAAATTGAAACGTAAGGTAAACTTTCCTAGTTGAAAGTGAAAATGTTGTATTGGTCCTAATCCAACTTGTAACAATAGTTAAAAGGGGACGCGAATATAACAAGATTGGTAGGAAAACCAACACCCTTCTGTCCCGGGTTGCAAACCAGGAAGACAAATCCTTATCTTTAGTCCCAGGTGAAATAACTGGGATTGAAGATAGATCTTTAGTCCCGGTTCGTGTTAAGAACTGGAACAAAAGATCGGAACGCCATGTGGCCAGCATTCCCATCTTTAGTCTTTTTTTTCTTTTCTTTAATTATTTTCTTCCTACTAATATTGATTTCAAACCGAACTCAACAACAAAATCATCCCTATTCTCAAAACATCAAAAAATCACAACAAAATCATCCCCATTCACAAAACATTACAAAATCATTCATATTCACAGATAGAATGAACATAGTCAAATTAACATCATAAATTTACAAGATCCAAAACGAACAAATTCACAGATCAACATAACATAACGAACAAATCCACACCACAAGTTTACATCACAAATAAAAAAAAATCACGTGAAGCATCGGCCGCCCATTCGCCCGCCGCAGAGGTCGCCGCCGCCCTGCACGTAGAGGAGGCCGCCACCACCGCTGGGCGTTCGCTCGCTCCTCGTACCCAGCAAAAACCTGGCGCAGGCCACTGCCACCTGGCACGCGCGGGCAGCACGCGCCAGTCAAAAGAACTAAAATAAAGGAGAACTAGCTATGCTTGTAAAGCATATTTGTTTTAGAATAATCTATTTCCACTTGTACTTGAATCCTATCTGATTGTAGAGATTGCTACATAAAAACAAGGAGAATTGACGAAAAGCGAACGAACAATCAATCGAAAGCCATCGAGAGATAGATTTATGGGTAGCTGGGCCTATGAGTCCAAAGAAATAATCTCAAAAGGCCCAAAACACCACATCACTAGACTGAGAAATCAGGAGATCTGGCCTGCCAAAAATTGGGCTGATTGGGCCAGTCGGGTTTGGCCGAACTCCCATCTCAGCCGTTGAGGCTGGGGTTTGGCATGGACATCCAGAATCTCTTCCTAATAACAGTTGCAGTGTATTTTCGATAATTCCATTAGATTATTAAATATCATTATTTAGGGGTATATGCTGCGGGACAGTGGAGGTGGGCCGCTGATGGTGACAACTCAGTACGAGTATTCCTCAACGTTAGTATATAGTCCTAAGTTAATTTCTTGGTATGGCTATTCCTCCATAATCATTTCCTGTTGGACGGCCATGATGGGTTGTAATAAGGAACTCAGCAATCAGATGTGGTCTCTCGAAACTCCAGGAGGGCATAGTTTGCGGGAATTGGCTGCTTGATTGTATAGTAGAGAGTGTAAATTAAATATACATGTATATTAGAAGTATATAGGATGAATTATTTTTTTATTCTTTCTCCACTTAACCTAGGATTTATTTAATGAGAGTATCTTAGTTCTTGTTCTTCGTATCGCTCTACCCTTGAATTAATTAACCCCTGTTTAGACTCTGACTTATGCAAGTAACATATAAATTATTAGCATAGTCTTCTCTTATCAATCTTTTATTGGGATTAAATAAATACGATACCTTAGAATACTTCCGGGTGAAATGCTACAATAGTATATCTTTACGCTTGTGGACCATACCTGTAACCGTGATATACCAGGAATATTTCTACACCATCGCTTGAAATTATATTTCTATTAATGTCATTAAGAAATACCAACAATAATCTACTTAGCTTTTGGAAAATCGGGGGTGGAGATAAGCACGGGAAATCAGGGTAGGGCCTGTTCACTTTAATGTCATTTTCAACCTTATCAATTTTGGTAAAGTTGCCAAAAAAGTGGCTACATTTAGTTTGTTGCCAAATTTTGGTAACTATATAAGAAATTCTGCCAAAATTTTGGCAACTATGCCAAAATTTGGCAATACCAAAATTTGGTAAGATTTTTTTTGGCATCAAAGTGAACAGGCCCTTAGGCTTGGGACCAAATTCCCATTAAAATATTTCTTAGAACACATCAACTAAGCCCTACTCAGTTGTAGTTGTGATCATTTCTTGGCTACGCCACTGTAGGAAATGATGTATGTTTCTGGGCATGATAGATGATACCATTTTTTCATTTCCATTGTTTAACCCGTTTGTCCAAAATATAATCCGATCTTACTATAAAGTTATAACCCACTTATTCTAAAGCTCAACATGCAAACATGCCACGTCATTATCCACTAGCAAAAATTATATACAAAACTTATGCAAGCATGCAACATTCATTGAATTATCTACAAATCAACATCCAATCATCTTCCTTCACATTAGTTTTCACAATATTTTTAACATCTATATATCCATATAATTAATGTGTGGGATATCATATTTCATCTACAATCTCATATAGAGTCTACTAAATGTATTTCTCTCTAAACATATTTTGACAAATCAGTTTTATTTGTTGTTAACACTAGTGCAATAACGATTTTTCTGTGCGGTCAAAATCGGTTTTTGCGTGCGGATCTTCCACCCGTCTGGAACGAGGTGTCTGCGAAAATCGCGATTTTCGTGTGCACACGCTTAAGCCGTCCGCACGGGAAAATAAAAAATTGAAACCAAACATAAAAAAAATCAAAAACACCGTCACCACCGTCGTCGTCACCGTCACCACCGCCGCCGTCCCCGCGGTCGCCGGTGACGGATCCGGTCCCCCCATGGTGGCCGAAGACGGATCCACCGCCCCCCCCCCCCGCGTGCGCGGTTGCAGGCAACGGATCCCCCCCCCCCTTCCAGCGATCGCCAGCGACGGATCCGCTCCGCCGCCACCACCATGGCCAATGCCGCCTCCGCCGCTCTAACCTAATGCTGCTGCTCTAGACGAGGCCGCCACCACCATGGCCGATGCCGCCGCCGCTCTAACCCAATGCCACCACATCCGCGCCTCCCTAGCCGAGGCCGCCATCGCCGGGAGATGGGAGGAGTGGGAGGAGGAGGGCGATAGGGAGAGGGAGGAGTGGGTGGAGGAAGCGGATAGGGAGAGGGGTGTGGGGCGGAGAGGGAGAGGGAGATGGGAGGAAGGAGCGGGTGTGGGATGGGATCTGAGAGGGTGAGGAGATAGCGATGAGAGTGGGTGTGGGGTGGCGACGACGGATTAAAAGTTGGGTGGCTATTTTCGTGTGCAGGTGACTTAATAGGTCCGCACGTGAAAATAGGCTTATTTTGACGTGCGGACCTGTTAAGTGGCCCTCTGCGATAATTGATTTTTCCATGCGGTCATCTTCATGAGTCGCACACGAAAATGGAGCACGATCTTCACATACCCGACCACTTACGGTCCGTTTGCAATATAAATGACTCCGGTCCAGGAAAATTATTCCTATAGTAATGTAATAATTGATGTAATTTTTACTTTTAGCCTGATTATTAAAAAAAATATTAAAAGTTACTTCGGAATTTTCGCAGCAAAACGCAGGGAATCACCTTGTTATTTATTATAATGGAGACAGTATAAATCAAACTCTCCAACAACGAAATGTAGACTTCGGCTCTTTGGAAGCCATTTGTACAAGAAAAGGCAGAGAAGATTGTGACGAAACCGCTGCATCTTGCCAAATGCTTCTCACTCCACGCATTGTTTGCTTCTCCAAACAAGGCTGCGATGATCACAAGGCGCATGCATCAGAACGCATGATTCGTCTGTCCAAACCACAGCAACGAGGGATGTCCTCTCCCCTCTGTCATCTAGCGCCCGCGTTCACATCCTGACATCGCCTCTAGCGTATATATATATATAGAGATCCAACTCCAAGTACCAAATCAGCACGACATGTGACAAGGCTCCTCACCTCCTTGGGATCTTGTGCTTGGGCGCGTGCTTACAAGCTGCATCAATGGCGTCACCACCGCCGGCTCGGCCGCACGCGCTCGTCATCCCGTTCCCGGCGCAGGGCCACGTCATTCCGCTGATGGAGGTCGCGCACGCGCTGGCCGACCGTGGCGTCGCCGTCACCTTCGTCAACACGGAGTTCAACCACGGCCGCGTCGTCGCCGCCATGCCCTCGCCGCCGCGGCGGAACGGGGTGACGGAGAACGGCGGCAGCGGAAAGCTGGGGATGGGGCGGAATCGGATCAGGCTCGTGGCGGTGCCGGATGGCATGGGGCCCGACGAGGACCGGAACAACCTGGTGAGGCTGACCGTGCTCATGCAGGAGCACATGGCGCCGCCCGTCGAGGAGCTCATCCGGCGGAGCGGCGACGAGGAGGCGGCGGTGGACGGCGGCGACGGCTGGGGGAGGATCACGTGCGTGGTGGCGGACTACAATGTCGGGACGTGGGCGCTGGACGTGGCGCGGCGCACCGGCGTGATGTCCGCCGCCGTCTGGCCGGCGTCGGCCGCCGTCGTGGCGTCTCTACTCAGCATTCCGGAACTCGTCCGGGACAAAGTCATCGATGCTCAAGATGGTAAGTAAAAATGAAAACGGCAAAATGATCTGTCTGTTTTAGAGTAATTAATACTCACTGCTGTGATTCCTCTGTTCAAGCTTTGATAGTTATTTCTTTAATAAATAATTTATAAATAGTTAAAATTATTCAACATTATTATTTACTTCATTGTTTGAATAACTGTATATACTTCATCGTTTGAATAAGATTGGACTCCCTCCGTCTCAAATTGTAAAGCATTATCATTCTTAAAAGAATTGAGCGTATTTTATTGTTAGATTCTCCTTCTAAATACATCCATATGATACTAATTTTATAATTATTGATACATAATATGAAATAAATTAATGATTAAAAGTAAATACCGTGTAAAATAATTATAGACCTTATACTTTATAATTTCCATTTTAAACCATATTTTTTTTTACAAAATTGACACATTTAGTTTATTATGAAATATTACTAATGTCTAATGAATTTTAGAATCATCACATTTGACATATTCTATCAAAACTTGACAATACAACCAACTTACTAAAATTTTAGTATTTAAATTTTTTTGAAGATTTATTTTTGCCGTAATCTGGACATGCTCTTAATGTATAATAATTGGCCCGATGGTACTTGCAGATTAATGTTTTGCGTGACAAAATTTGGTTTCACAGATTAAAATTTTGTACACAGGAAGCAACTGAAATTTCGTAGAAGATCCAAAATGCTAATCCGATATCAAGATGTTAAATTCCTCACCCAAAAAAAAACAAATTTCAAATTCTGAATTGAGAAACTGATATTTCCATCTTGTTTTTTTTGCTGGGCAGGATCAGCACTAACGCAGGAGGCCTTCCAGCTGTCGCCGGACATGCCGATGATGCAACCGGCGCACCTGGCGTGGAACTGTATCGGCAACGACGAGGGGCAGGAACTGCTGTTCCGTTACCTCCTCGCCGGCGTCCGTGCCGTCGACGAGTGCGACTACATCCTCTGCAACTCCTTCCGCGGCGCGGAGGCGGCGACGTTCGCGCGGTTCCCCAAGATCCTCCCCGTCGGCCCGCTCCTCACCGGCGAGCGCCCAGGCATGCCCGTCGGGAACTTCTGGCGCCCCGAGGACGGCGCGTGCATGTCGTGGCTCGACGCGCAGCTGGCGCGGTCCGTTGTGTACGTCGCCTTCGGCAGCTTCACCATGTTCGACCGGCGCCAGTTCCAGGAGCTCGCCCTGGGGCTCGAGCTCACCGGCCGGCCTTTCTTGTGGGTGGTGCGCCCAGACATCGTCCGTGGCGACGTGCACGAGTACCCCGACGGCTTCCTGGACCGCGTCGTCGCCTCCGGCAATGGCGGCGGCCGTGGCAAGGTCGTGGCGTGGGCGCCGCAGCAGCGGGTGCTGGCTCACCCGGCGGTGGCGTGCTTCGTGTCGCACTGCGGGTGGAACTCGACCATGGAGGGCGTCCGGAACGGCGTGCCGTTCGTGGCGTGGCCCTACTTCGCCGACCAGTTCGTCAACCGGGCGTACATCTGCGACATCTGGCGGGTCGGGCTCCCAGCCGTCGCCGACGAGAAGTTGGGCGTGGTCACGAAGAAGCACATCGCCGGCAGAGTGGAGGAGGTGATGGGAGACTCTGGCATGAGGAAGAGGATCGAGGCGATGATGGCGGTGGCACACGAGAGCGTTCAGGAGGGTGGTTGCTCCCATGGCAACTTCGACATGTTCGTGGAGTCGATCATGCCATGAGTGATGCATACCTTGACGTTGAACAGAAATACTGCTAAGAAATAAGAATTTGCGATCATGAGATATCATCGTCATTGCTAATTTAGAGAGGGATACAAGACAACAAGAGAGTCAAGACTCAAGAGGGGAGGTTGGATAAGAAGCAAACAGGATACTCAAATTGAAACATTAGGTAAACTTTCCTGGTTGAAAGTGAAAATGTTGTATTGGCCCTAATCCAACTTGTAACAATAGTTAAAAGAAGGGACGTGAATATAACAAGATTGGTAACGCTTTAATCCTAACCAACAACATAACGTACTTGCCAAAAATAGAAGCATCACATCTTCCCTCAGACGTGTCACCTTGCCCTTTCACTTTAAGTACTATGTAGTCACATGCTAATAGAGTCTAGGACCATTGCACTAGTATTTTTAAAATCTTTGGTGGCTTATATCTTTTAAAGCATATTTTTTAATATCCGAGTGAACCATAGTACACTACTGAAAATATATGACAAAACAAGTCCAATATTGAATATATTATATTATTTATTTTTTAAGCAGTGTTGTTACTTCGAATAGATAAATAGTTACTTCTCTATAGTAGTATAGTTAGTTTTAATTCTGTGAAGAGTTACTTACCTCTATCAGTGTAGTTATTTCTAACTCCGTAAAAGGGTTAGTCCTATTTTTTAAAGTTACTTTCCTATAGTAATGTAGCAACTTCTCTGGAACATTTTAATACAATGAATAGTTAAATCTATTTTCTAAAGAGTTACTACCTATATAAAATAAATCGCTTTTATCGAAAACAATAATATTTATATATACATACACATGTTTTACTTCGAATAAAAAAATCATGTATTTACTTGTGAATATCTACACTTTTCCTATAAAGATATTTTTAACTCATATATGCAATTATTTCTAATGCTATAAAAAGTTATTTTTTATTGTAGAGCTTAATTACTTCTACTATTTAACTAAGTTATTTTTAAATATTTCAATATATTCAATATTGTACTCTTTTTATTATATATTTTAAGTGAACTTTAATGGTTAAAATAGATCATAAAAATAATACTCCCTCCGGTTCTATAATAATTGACGTTTTGGACAATGTTTAGGTCAAACTTTTATAACTCTGACCTACAATAACTTTAAAAATATTTAGTTTAAAGAAACTAGAACAACATATATAGATTTATCTTTCAAAGCACTATAATTAAAGTAAACATACATTTATTTATTTTATATATTATAATAAAAAATAAGGTCAAAGGTATATTTCGTACATCGATTCATGGTCCAAAACGTCAATTAAAATGAAACCAGAGGGAGTACATAAGTATGTCTAGAAATTAAATCTAATTAACATATTATAGAACTAACCAATACAGTAAATTCTTCAAATATCCAAAAAGTAATTTAATCAAATCTAAAAGTAATTTATATATACGATAAAAATAACTTACATACAGACTAAAAGTAATTACAATATATATAATTTTTTATTAGAATATAATTATGTAAGATCTTGTTATAAAGATTTAATTACAATGAATACAATGGTATAATCGGGCTGTAGATCGGATCTGTAATATGAAAGAAAATTTTATTTCAAATTTAACTATTATGAATATTTGTTGTTGCATGTTGCGTACCCCCACATGGGAAATAGGTACTAGTTATGAAAATAGTTGGATCTCTGGTTTAGTCTATTAAGAGACCACAACTGTGTAGTGGCGTCTATATTTATGGGCATGATATATACCATTTTTCATTTCTATTGTTTAACCCGTTTGTCCAAAATGTAATTATTTATTATAGTCGTGACAGTAAATCCAATTCTCCAACAACGAAGTGTAGACTTTGGCTCCTTGGAAGCCATTTGTACAAGAAAAAGGTAGAGAAGAATATGACGAAACCGCTGCATCTGGGAAATTTAACTATTTGCCACTTTTAGGTTTGCCAGATATCCAAATGCCCCTCTTAGGTTTGCACTGAATAATTTACCACGGGAGAGAGATAATTTTTTAACTATTTGCTACATTTGCCTACGTGGCATGCCACCGTGCCGTGCCAGTGTGGAAAGCAACGTGGACCCCACCAGTCAGCCCCTCTCCTCTCCTTCTTCTCTACCTCCGATCGTCGCCGTGAGGCCCGTGACCTCCCGGCGGCCCTGCGCTGGCCCCACGCCATCATCGTCGTCGTCCCCTGCTGGCTGCGGTGGCGGCGCGTCGTTTGGCCGTAGCAACCACACGAGGTAGAAGATCCACGAGGAGGACGGCGAATGCGCACGGTGAACTTCTTCCAGGTCTCGTGGTGGCGCCTCTCCACCTGTGACTCGTACACCAGCGGCGGCGGCGGCGGCGTCCGATGTCCCGGGCGAAGACGACGCTTGGTGGAGGTGTCGGCACTCGGCGACAGTGTAGCCGACCGCCACGGCGGAGTAGGTCGTGGCGGCCAACATGACCGCCTCGGCGGCGAGTGGCCCGACCAGGGAGTCGGCGTCGGCGAGGAGGAAGAAGGCGGAGACGCGGACAAGGAGAGAGGGCGTCGCCGAGTCCCTCCACACGGAGGCCGTGCCGCAGCATTGCCGGGGCAGAGGAGAGTCGCGTCGCGTCGCGTCACGTCGAGTCACCGGACTCTGGTGGCGTCTGAGCTGTTGGGCGCGGCGGCGCCGGGGATGGCGGTCGTGGGGCGAGCAGGCGAGCGTGGGCTGGCGGTCGATGACGACCTAGGGCCAGCGCGGGGCCGGCGGGAGGTGGGCGACGACCACTAGAGAGAAGAAGGAGAGGAGAGGGGCTGACGGGTGGGGTCCACGTTGCTTTCCACGGTGGCACGCCACGTAGGCAAAAGTGATAAATAGTTAAGAAATTATCTCTCTCCAGTAACAAATTATTAAGTGTAAACCTAAGAGGGGCATTTGGATAATTGGCAAACCTAAAAGTGGCAAATAGTTAAATTCCCCACTGCATCTTGCCAAGTGCTTGTCGCTCCACGCATTGTTTGTTTCTCAAAACAAGGCTGCGATGATGACAAGGCGCATGTATCAGAACAAGGCTTTAATCTCACGATTTAGGGTTTTGTATCAGTGGTGGCTGAAATAGCGAAATTTCCGAAATTTCAAAAATTTTGGTACGAAATTATATGATTTTTTGAATGAAATTTGATCAAATTTGAACAAAATAGTACCAAATTAATGAAAAAATGAAAAAAAAAAGAAATTTCGATTGAAATAATATCGTATCGGGGTCCGATAGAACCAAAATTCAGAAATTTCGATCCGAAATTGTGAACCCTGGTCAGAACGCGTTATTCGTCTGTCCAAACCGCAGCAACGAGGGCTGTCCTCTCCTCCCTGTCATCTAGCGCGCGCGTGTTCGCATCGTGACGTCGCCTCTCGCCGTATATATATAGATCCTAGCACCAAATCATCACGACGATCCTCGCCTCCTTGGGATCTTGTGCTTGGGCGCCTGCTTGAAAGCTGCATCAATGGCGTCACCACTACCGGCTCGGCCGCACGCGCTCGTCGTCCCGTTCCCGGCGCAGGGCCACGTCATCCCGCTCATGGAGGTCGCGCACGCGCTGGCCGACCGTGGCGTCGCCGTCACCTTCGTCAACACGGAGTTCAACCACGGCCGCGTCGTCGCCGCCATGCCCTCGCCGCCGCGGTGAAACGGGGAGACGGAGAACGGCGGCGGCGGCGGAAAGCTGGGGATGGGGCCGCTGATCAGGCTCGTGGCGGTGCCGGACGGCATGGGGCCCGACGACGACCGGAACAACCTGCTGAGGCTGACCGTGTTCATGCAGGAGCACATGGCGCCGCGCGTCGAGGAGCTCATCCGGCGGAGCGGCGAGGAAGAGGCGGCGGTGGACGGCGACGGCGACGGCTGGGGGAGGATCAGGTGCGTGGTGGCGGACTACGATGTCGGGACGTGGGCGCTGGACGTGGCGAGGCGCACCGGCGTGAAGTCCGCTGCCGTCTGGCCGGCGTCGGCCGCCGTCATGGCGTCTCTACTCAGCGTTCCGGAACTCATTCGGGACAAAATAATCGACGCTCATGGCAAAAGAAAACGGCAAATGAACTGTCTGTTTTAGAGTAATTAATACGTACTATTCCTCTGTTCAGACTTTGATAATTATTTCTTTAATAACACATTTATGAATAGTTAAAATTATTTAACATTATTCAAATTACGTTTCTCCATAAGTATAACCGTATATACTTCATTGTTTGAATAACAGACTTTGATAATTATTTCTTTAATAACACATTTATGAATAGTTAAAATTATTTAACATTATTCAAATTACGTTTCTCCATAAGTATAACCGTATATACTTCATTGTTTGAATAAGGTAGGATTCCCTCCGTCTCAAATTATAAAGCATTATTATTCTTAGAAAAATCATTATTGTTAGATTCTCTTTTAAAATACTTCCATATGATGCTAATTTTATAATTGTTGATACATAATATGAAATAAATTAATGATCAAAAGTAAATAATATGTAAAAAGTTATAGGCCTTTGTCCGTCCACCACGGCCGCAGCCAATGGAGATGGGAGGGGAGGAGGAGGAGAGGGAGGAGAGGGTAGGGCCCGGGGGAGGAGGAGGAGAAGAGATAAGAAGATAAGGATAGGAACGAGATAAGGTTGAGAAAGAGATAGAGATTTTTTTTTCCCTCCCACATGCGCTTTTTCGTCTCAGCTCCCTTCCGCGCGCGATTTTTCTTTAGTCCTGGTTGGTATAAACAATGATAGTATAGGGTGCTTGCAACGGCCTGACAATGAATGAACCGATGATCTTTAGTCCCGGTTGGTAACACTAACCGGGACTAAAGATACTATGGGGTGCCTGCAACGGCCTGACAATGAATAAACCGATGATTTTTAGTCTCGGTTGGTAACATCATTTGGTTTTTAAACCGGGACCAAAAATGATTTTGGATGAACCGGGGCTATTGTGGTTTTTGGGCAACCTACAAAAGATGATTTTTTTCAGTAGTGTACTTTATAGTATAAGGACCATGGGAATAATTATAAGTATTGCCAAGCTTAGGGGTTTAAATATTTTCCATTTATAACCATGTTATTTTTTTTAATAAAATTGACACATTTAGTTTGTTATGAAATATTGGCAATGTCTAAGGAATCGCAAAATCTAAATAGAGAGCGCTCTCGATTTAGTCATAACGAGCGACACTATCAGCCATTGTACCATCAGCCATTGTCAGACATGTGTCTTGAAGAATCTTACTTTAGTACTAATTGATAAAGCAAGTAGAAAAAATATTCCTACCATCTATGCTTCAAATAAAATTTTCTCTTAAATTACTCATCCGATTTATAATCCGATTACACCGTTGTGTTCATAACAATCAAAACTTTACAACAAGATCTCACATGATTATATTTTGATAAAAAATCACAAATTACTTTTATAATATATCTAAATTACTTTT